ACACACACACACACACACACACACACACACACACACACACACACACACACACACACACAGGAAGGGTTCATACTACTTGTATTAAGCCATTTCTTGTATACTTCATTGTTTTAAAACAATCGTAAATGGATATGGATTTACATTAAAAGACCCAACGCTGAAGTAGACAGTTCTGAAGATTAGTTGTAAAAATGTTACTTACTGAGGCGAATTTGTGCCCAAAGCTGATCCATTCCTTCTCAATCAGCACCTAAAACATCACAAAAATGTTCATCGTACCACTGGGCGGCTATAGCTGAGGGGTAGAGTGGTTTGTCCTCCAACTAGAAGGTCCTAGCCCCCTCATAGATGTTGAATGCACTAATTATAAGTCGATTCGGATAAAAGCATCAGCTAAATAAATATAATATTATAAAGTAATGCCAACTAATTTCTCTAAAGTATAAGCGATGTAAGACCATTGCAAAGGTGCACTGAAGATTTGCTCACAAGGGGTGTGAAATTGGCTTTACTTATATGTTTGAGTTGTTTCCTTTTATAGTCTTATCCCTTCAGCCACTGACCTGGAATCCTCTGAGTGTGCGGTAGTGACTGTCCAGCATCAGCATGGCCAAAGAGGTGAGCTGGGCAGTTCTATCCCAGCCATCACTACAGTGTATCATCACTGAGTTTCCACTGGAAACCTTGTCTGCTACTTGGATGGCTCCTGACAACACCAGCTACACAAATAGACGGAATTTAGACGAGCATTTACATTTTTTGAACACTTTTTTTATGTAAACAAAGTCTTTCTTACCTTAACATGTTCTAGCCAGTGTGTAGACTCTAGACTGGACAGCCAATGTGATTCCTCAACATTTGGGTAGACGATGTCTTTGAGTTTCTTCAGGGATTCCCTCATGACATGGATATTCTGGATGTCTAAGAAGATGAGCTCTGCATTTTGGTACTCATCACCCTCATAGCCTCCCCCAGTGGCCTGTGAATTCATATAATAAAGGTTAAAATGGTCTGTATTTTTAAAGGACATTCCTAGTCTTGATGACCACTCAAAGCGCTTTACATTAGTGCATCTACAGGTATGTGCAACATTTTCTCTTTCACACAACAATCACACACTGATGGAACAGCCAGTCATGGGCAATTTAAGTTGACTATCTTGCCCAAGGATAACTCAGCACACAAGGATGAGGATAAATAAATATAACTAGAGATGCAAGCAGCACTTATGGGCTCTCGCACACATAACACGGCAGCTTCAACCACAACACAGCCTAGGCAAAACAGCTCACTTTTAGCGTGCATTTTGTGCACCACAGGAAAGATAATGTCATTGTCAATTTTATTTATACAGCACATTTAAAACAACTTGGTTGAACAAAGTGCTTCAAAGGTACAAGGTACAAGAGGACCGTAACAAGCAATACATCAAAATTAAAATAGAATAAGATAGAAAGTAGAATAATTTAAAATCAAAATAAAGTCAAATATAAGATATACAATAAAATAAAATAGAATCAGCTGGGATAAAAACTTACTCAACTCGAGGACAAAGCCAAGGTGAAGAGATGTGTTTGTAATTATTCGAAGTGTGCTAGAGAGGGGGCAGATGTAATGTGGGGTGGTAACAGTAAAATGTATCCTGTGACGAACAGGATACATTTTGGTCTATGTGTGATATGGTCTATGGTACATTTTTCTTTCTAGTCAGGAGGCGAGCCGCAGCATTTTGGACGAGCTGCAGGCATTTAATATATGATTGGTCTAAGCCCACATACAGGGAATTGCAGTGGTCGAGTCAAGAGATAACGAAGACATGGATCACTCTTGAGGTACTTTTGTAGGAGATAGGCCTTTACTTTGGCGATGAGTCTTAGTTGAAAGAAGCCACACCTGACAACTGAGGAAATTTGCAGACGGTGTCTGCCTCCCGAACCCAGAGTGGGAGCTGGTTCCACAGGAGAGGAGCCTGGTAGCTGAAGGTTCTACCTCCTGTTCTCCTCTTACAGACTCTAGAACCCAGAGTGGGAGCTGGTTCCACAGGAGAGGAGCCTGGTAGCTGAATGCTCTACCTCCTGTTCTACTCTCTACAGACTCTTGACACATGTCTGCCCTGGATATTACAGGTGGGCAGTGGTCCTCCTGGGCTCCTTGTACCTCCACAGCCGGGGAGTTGCTCTCAAAGCAAGCGTAAAAGTTGGAGCCCTAGTACTGAGACTCCATTTTGTCCCTGTACCTTCTCTTGGCACTGCTGATAGCACTCTGGAGCGCTAACCTGGACTTCCTGTTCTCCTCAAGATCACCTGAGTTGAAGGCGACAGTCCGTGCTCTAAGTTTGGCATGGACGTCCCCATTAATCCAGGGCTTCTGATTTGGGAATGTACATACAGGAATCCTCGGTACAACATCATCGATACATTTGCTGATGTAGCAGATGACCGTGAATGTGTTGATGTTGTTGTCCTTGAACACACACCAGTCCGTAGTACTGAAGCAGACCTGTAGAGCTGAGTATGATTGGTTGGACCACAGCTGAATGGTCCCAGTCACCGGCCTGTCACATTTGGGTTTCTGCCTATAGGAAGGCAGCAATAGAACTTAGACATGATCTGATTTGCTTAATGAGGGGTGAGGGAGGGCCTTATATGCATCCCGGAAGGGAGTGTGAACATGGTCGAGTGTGTTTGTGCCACGCGTAGGACAGCTGATGTGTTGATGGTATCTCGTCAGGACTTTCCTCAGCTTGGCGTTGTTGAAATCGCCGGCCACAATGAATGCCGCCTCCGGCCGTGAGGTCTCTATTCTGTCGATAACAACATGCAGCTCGTCCAGGGCCTGGTTAGTGTCGGAATGTACACGGCTGTTATAACGGCCGATGTTAACTCCCTCGCGAGGTAATAAGGCCGGCATCATTAGGTGCTCCAGGTCCGGAGAACAGCCCGAAGAAATAATCTCCACGTCTGAGCACCACAGGTTGTTCACCATGCAGCAGACACCTCCTCCCTTGCTCTGCCCAGAGTTTATTGTCCAATCCTGGCGATGAACGGAGACCCCCTCAGGAACAATGGTGGATTTCGGGATCAAGCCAAGTCTTCGTGAAAACTTTAACGTTACAAAACTTAATGTCCCGTTGTAAAAACATCCTGCTCCGAAGAAGACATTTGCACGCACGCACGCACGCACACAATACGGTTCATTCTTATTGTACAGAGATCATATTGTTTATGAATTATGATTTTACTGTGAGTGCATTTGTTCAACTGTTTATATGTTTTGTTGGGTTGGGAAGAAGTTACAAAGTAGGACTTTCTTAGATAAATAAGGAATGATGGAGAACAACGTAGAGATGGACGTCTATTTCAGTTGGCAATCGCCTTCTCCTTGCTTTCAGCCTTTCAAGTCCCCTTTGCTATGAGAAACAACAATCTTCAAGCTGCAACCTACAAATTGACTAAAAATGGCAAGTTTTGAGTTGGATCAATCACACATGTTTTTTACCATTTACTCTGAGTAGAATTAGCCATTTTAATGACTGTGATCACCTCCCCAATTGCATATGGAAAGCATTTTTTCTCTCCTCTAGAGGAACGATAATAGGGGCAGCCAAAGTCTGGCTATGTGAGACTACTATAACTCTACAAGACTTAGATGGTGACAGGCCACAAGTATCCATTCAAATGTTGATAAAATCTGAAAGAAAAAAAAAAGATCTAGAAAAATGCAACTTAATACATGCTTCCATTAACTAATGCTTTATGAATATTAGAAGAACACGTAAAATATACAGGTCATATATAGTTGTGTCTTTGCTGTATTCTATTGAATACAACTTTTCCCCCTCAGCCATGCATTGAAATTGTTTTAATATTTAGGTTTATTACATATCCTTCATTCAAGAGGCCAAAATCATGTTTTTTTTAGGCCACTGTGACCTTTACAACTGAATTCAAATCAGTTAATCATTGAGTACAATTGTATTGTACGAAATCAAAATACATTCCCGACGGGCAGTCCTAATACATCACAGTCACAGGGACTTAAGGTCACTCTGACCTTGCCCTTTTGACCTTCAACCATCAATAGCCAATCAGTTCATCTTCAAGTGCAAGTGAACATTTGTAACAAATGTGAAGAAATTCCCTTGAGATATTGCGTTCACAGGAACGGGAAGGACGGACCGATAGACAGACAAACCAAAAACATTGGCTTTCGTTGGAGCAGAGGCATATACATTTGTTTAGGAAAGTTATTTAACAAACATTGTAACCATATTTTGTTTCAGCTTCTCTAATATGATAATTGGATGATTTTCTCTCAACTGACAGATCAGGAAGATTATCATCAGAATAATCGATAATGAAAATAATCCTGAATCACAGACCTGATTGTAACCTTTAAAAAAAAGAAACAATCACATCAGAAATATTAAATATAGTATATGATGCATGTTAAAAGTAGAAGCTTCCTCAAGGGTTAACATTTCATAGTGACATTTCAGAGATGAAATGTGGTGCTTTTTCCCCATTTCAGATTGAATGATGCAGACAAGTAACGCTCATGAGATGGTAAACTGCTGTAAACCCTCCTGCCTCTGTCAAACCAACCCTCTTTCCCTTCACACCTTGTTGGCCACTGCGTTGACGTTAGGCCTGGCGTCATATATGGTTAGCTTGGTAGTGTCGTTTGCCTCCCTGATCAGGTCCAGATAGCGCTCATCATCCTTGTTCCTTTTACCAGACATGCCAACCAGAGGCTGACTGCAACGGACAATCACTGCCTGGTTCTCTCTGTGGATCCATGATAGAACCTGAGGCAAAAAAAGTCAGATGAGACATTTGCAAATGTGACTGGTTATTATAGGTAATGGTATCACTGTCAGATAACTTTTAATGGCTTCCGGGGCAACGGTCAGAGTTTAGGATTGCTGCTACAAACAATTTGACTTCTGAACCATACTGTCTCTTACCAATTAAGACAGTGTCAGGGCTACATATTTATTTAAAATGTGTAAACAGACAAAGTCAGCGTGAACCTGTCTCCTCTACTCCAGCTCTGCTCACCTGTGTGTGTCACTTTTCCCCCCATACACACAGAGCAGAGAGAAACTTAACTGTGAATGCAGTACAGACTCTCACACTGAGCAATGTCAATGGATGTCATTTCTTAAAAGGTTTCAGCACATTTTTACAATTACACTATTACTGACAATCATAATAATTTTGGTCACTATAATCAAGATCTAAAATGTTCACACTGTTTGATATCTATTTTAGACCAGAGGCCCTAAAAGTTTGCTGGTTGCCCCCAAAGACTTCGTTGTCAGATGATAGTGATGTACTCCAAGACTATACTCTGTTGCTTACCGGTATGCGTCCTCTTGACCTGAAGGCTGCAACTCTTCTGAGGTCCTCCTCTTTACTTTTAAAGGGTACAGCCAGTACAGTAGGATAGGTGTCGCACAGCTCATAGTTCTTATTAATGAATGTAATACGCCACTTGTTATTAGGTAAGCCCTACAAAAAAAGACAAGATTATCATTAGAAATAGATATTTTTACACAACCCACTGATTACAAAATTATATAGAGTAGTGTGAGAATCAATGTGTGGGAATCAATGTCCATACACTGTACTTGTCCTCCTTACCTGGCGTCTGAACTCTTCTATGGGTTTGTAGACATTCCAGCCATTCTCCTCATACTT